CCCCGCCTGTGTTTTAAGGCGAACTTTTACCGATTTCTCTTATTGCTGACATGTTTTACTTCTACCCCGTTCCCCTATAACTGTACTGGCCCGACGTGAATTTATCGAAAGCTACGGATGCTCGCCACCTCGTCCTTTGATTTCTGTATCAATCTATCCCCTCAGACTCTGTCGTTTCCTCTCTGCTATCGTAGCTTGGCGGGCTTCGGCCTGGTAGGCAGTTGCCCGTTCTTGACCTCTTTCCCCCATACGAAGCTGGTTTGCTTCGGGAAGCCAAAGGATCGGTGTGCACCCATTCCTGAGTGAATATATATGTATAGAATGGTAGAGAGGCGTATATATAAGTGAGACTGAATTGGGCGGACAAATACTACTAATGAAGAAGGGTCAGGGGCTGTTTACGATTGACACTGGCGACAAAACTGTTCGACGCCCGCAGGACCTGACTTCCTACTCAAGAGGAAGGCTTCAGATAGCTGGTACAGATATAAAAATTACTAGTGTCTCCTCAAAATCACCTATCGGCCCTTGTCCGTGCTACTGTCAGATGAAGTTGGAATTAGCGGGGGGAGACGATGGAAGATGACGGTAGAATGATGCAGTACTGTTAGGGGTTTATTTTACCTTCACACAGCCAATCGCAACCTTGAACAACAGCTGGGAGCAGAAACTCAGACGTGCACTCGCACACGGTGCACATGACCCGCAGACGGGGTCTACCAGATTGGTCGAGCCGATTTTCATCAGTGCCTCGCTCCTCCCATTCCCTCTAGCTGCAGATCCGGCATTTATTCAATCCGGTACCGTCTGAAAGATCGAAGTCTCAAAAAGACAATCATCTGCTACCCACACGGAGTTTTCTTGTCTTAGGGAGCCAACAGATCGGTGAGTGTCCACTCCTGTTTGAAAGCCGAATGCATTTAACAGGAGGGATCTGAGTAAGGATCTATAGATTGCACCCAGGAATCGACGGCCTACAAAGAATGCCTACTAGACCAGTTAAAATAGTCGTGTTTTATTCAATACCATTAAAAACGCAGGTTGTGCCGCCGGATTACCCACCATGACCTTAGCTCAAAAAGTTGAGAAGCGATAAGCGTGACTACGACGGGACCCGTATGATCCATTTTGGTTTCAAGTAAAATCAACGTTGCCTTACCAGAGGGAGTCACAGCACAGGTCTTTTGTTATGAAAAACAGTGCACCAGCTGAACATGTTAGCAGTTGACTGATTTCCGAACAGATCGGGACACTTTTCACATTTTAGAAACGCCTGCATCAACCGACCAATCACTGTGAAAGACGCAGACCGAGAGGGCTAAAGAGCTTGTACATGTTATATCGAACGAAATCCGGGTTATTCGGACCTATATTAGTTTGTATATACACGCTCAACTAGAAAGTATGCATGCAATGAGTGGCTAATCTCATAAAATGCCCATTTAAATTCTGAAATGCATTTTCAATTAGGAGGGATCGACTAATTGGGGTTGTAATATTGGTTGTCATATAGCATAATCCCGAAATATTTCAGTCACGTCATGATGCCTGCCTTTTAATGTGCTTCTTTCCAGCGCGAGACCTCCCAAGGGTCGCCAACATGAACATTTCCAAATCACAAGTCAGGGAAGACGGATTCGTCTGGACAAGCTTTACCGATGTGAAAGACGGAAATGCAGGACATTAAGCAAGTAGCTGCCGCTAGCTGTCTCTTCAGACGTGTTGTGTCTGCCGGTGTCCACCGTCAAGGCTCTTAGCCCCCAGCGCGTGTGTGCGCCTTTGCCCGACCTGAGTTGTGACCGCTTCTAGCCAATCAGCGAAGGGGCATCGCTAATTGGTTTTGAGCTCTCATGGAACTAACTCCAAACCTCGCGGAGTCCCAGCAGCCAATCAACAGGAGGCGTAGACGGGTAAAAAGTGACAGGGGGACAAAACTGCGGAGATCAAGAGGGCGGACTGCCACGCCCGGTAAAATGGCTATTTGAGTGGGATGACTTTTTTCATTGATTCTTGAGGCCCGAATAACTTCATAGAAAACATTCACAACAGCATGTCTTCTTACATCCATTTTATAGCTACTGATCTTTGTCAGGTTTCATACTAAGAAAAATAATAGCTTTCGGTTCTAAGGATGTTTTTGATTATGTGACTTCTTATGACCGTGAAATAACTACTTCATTAACATCGCGTCTGTTCGTTTGTTGATTCTCCCCGTGAAGTATATAGCATGGCTCATATTTATTCCAAATTTATATGAGTCCCAAATGGGATCTTCTTAATAGAACAGAGGAATGCAAGAATTTTTTACATGAAAGTGTACAGCTCGTAGTCTGAAAACTTTAAACGCGAGTGCCACAGGAATTCAGGTCTAGATTAATCGGGAATAGAAAAATCTTTTCATAACTCAAAGCTTACGTATAGCCCGCGCAGAAGTTGAAGAAGACGTAAATTTCTACAAAATAAGTACAAGGAAGGACATTTTTGTGCATGTCTTCTATAAATTATACATGAATTTATAGGAGATCCGAAAATCAATGGAAAAGTTCGTACTGTTTAAACAGCCATTTTGTAGCAAGTATAATTTTTCAGGCATCCGGGAAGGAATTCGTACAAAAAGCCAGCATCCCGACGTGACTGAAATGTCTTGGGATTATGCTGTACGATAATCAATATTACAACTCCACTTAGACAATTTTTTCTAATCGAAAACGCATTTGAGAATTTTAGTGAGCATTAAATGAGATCGGCCACTCACTGAAAGGACACTGTCAACAATAACTGGCGTGGGGCGTAGTCAGAGGCTAGTTCACCTATAATACTATGCTGCTTTTCAGTTCAGCATCTTTTCAGTCTCCTCCTTAGATCAAACTTTAAAAAATACTACTTAAGTATTTTGTTATTTTACGCTTGTTTTTGCCTGTTTGACTGCGTTATTTACCAGGAATGCAAAACTTTTTTACTTGTACGCGTTCTCAACACTGGCTGCTTCGTAAAACTGTAAGGTTTTCATATCTCTTACTAAAACAGCGGCTTGGGTAATTTTCACGATAATGTTATAAGGAAGATAAGATTTCTGTAGAAAGACAGGACGGACCGTATTAATTCACTTAATGAAGCTTACACGTCATACAGTTTTAAGCCCTGATCACAAAAGAAGACAAAAAGCCAGATTCAATATGTACGTGAGCCTTTTGAGAATTTTGAAAATTGAATCAGTGTCCTCCTTCAAATATCAGAAGCCGAAGCCTCAGAAATCAGCGATCAAGCTGGACAGTGGCTAAGGAGCAAAGTTTCACGAGTACTACTTACGCCAATGGCAAAAGGTGTCTCATCCGAAGGGAAGAATGTCGTTATTGAAGTTGATATAACTCATCAAAAATGTGCGTATTAACGAAATATTTCTAATCTGTCGGAAAGTGAGCTCAAAGCGCTGACTAAAACTCCCAATTAGCAAAGAAGGACATTCCACAAAATGTAACGTTAAAGCAACTGCTTGACGGTGGGCCTTTTCGCGGTGGTTTGCGGGATGTTTGCATATGCTTGGAAATTAAAGGGGTTTTGCGATAAAAACAGAATGCAAGCGTTGCTATTGCTTTTTAGGGCATGACAGTTCGACCGTCGCATCCGACGATGCCCACCGTTTACTTCACAACAAGGTTACGTAGGCGCGTGACTTGCGCGTGAATTAGTTTAGAATGATAGTAAACTTGCACAGCATCTACCGCACCCTCTCCTCCTCCCCACCGGAGCCAGGTATCAAGAGATTCAAGAAGACTGGAGGTGAGGGAGGATGCAGATGACTGGTACGGCCGAACCTGCACCTTGGCGCTCCACTCCACACGCCCTGGTCCACACAACAATTGACCAGGTTTTCGACCAACAACAACAACATCACCACGATGGTTCAGAGGACGAGAATGACTGGGCAGCCATGCTCACCACCTGCATACCCAGCGGGAACGCAAACGCATCCACCGGCAGGGAACCAGGTGTCAGGGAACTGCCACTGCATACCAGGCTGTGAGAGCCATGGTTTGCTGATCCTGATTTAACAGACGCCTGCACATGTACACACAGACAACCAGTAGTGGGACTAAACCGTCACGGATGAAACTATTTCCTCCCACTAAGGATCATTTGTTTTCCATTTTTAGCCCGTATAATCAAACGTGGATTCGTTTATTGCGTAGACCGTCCTGTTGAAGAGACCGCACAAGTAGACTACCTCCTGTTAATCCTTTTGACGGAATGAAGCACCTGTGGAAATTCTACACTTTGACTCAACCGTACGGGATCAAACGACGGCTAATTACGAACTATTTGCATATATCTGTAAATGACTGATGTGTTAAAACATAAATCGCCTTTTGGACGTATTAATGCTCTTTTGAGTAAAAAGGACACAGATTTATAAAGTTAAATTTCTAATGAAAACATATCTCTGTTTCTTCCTCTTAAAAATAACACATCTATTCACATTCTGCCTCATTTGGCTTGCGGGGGACTAAAAATCGACATTCAAGTTAGCAACCACCCCTTTTGAAAGACTTTCTTGCTCAGATTAGTGTCCTCTGTTATAAAAATGCGCACAATTGGCAACTGTCATTTAAGGCTGTTATTAACATGCAGTAAATATGCTATCTCACGAAATGTTGGCCAAAATTCTGAAATGCACCCTCTATTAGAAAGTATCACTTCAGTGAGGTTGAAGTATTAATCATCGTGTCACATAGTGCCAGACTATTCCCGTCACGTCGGAATGCCGGCTTTCGAACGAGCTCCTTATCAACCGTCTTCGAAAATGACACTTTGCAAAGACCACTACTCGAGTAGCATGAGTTTTCTTATTGAATTTCGGTGCCCTTATAAATCCAAATATATTTTGCAGAAAAAATGCACAAATATATTCTCCTCTGTACTCATTTGGTAGTAAGTTACGTACTGAATGGCCTTAATGCAACCTGACGTTGATTTTCACTCAAAGATGCAGATCTTCCCGCCGGAAAAATAAATTATAAATGTCTTTTCCGAGGGAAGAAGTACATTTTCTGCAACTTATTATGCTAGTCAGTAAAGTGCCCAACGTTCAAGGTGCCTCGAACTGATTATCCAGATTTCGGTCGCAGGTTTACTGAAATAGGTCACCGAGGATAGTCCGACCGTTGCGTATGACGATGTTCACTGTGTACCCCACGGGACGGAGGGCGCAGAGCGGTGACATGAGCACGAGCTGAAGTGAGATGGACTTTCACTGCATCCACCGCACTCTCTCTCTCTTCGCTCACCTATCACGCTCCGATGACAAGACAATGTCGAGACGGTTGTAGGCGGGCCCTGGCGTAATGGCTGACGAAGCAGAACAGCTTGTCGGCGTGTGACACACACGGCTGAGTTCACCCATCGGGTGGAAGTCTTCCAAGCTACGACTTTTAGCGCGCCATGATTGATTCGAGCACACCAGATAAATCATCGTGAGGGATGCACTGATGCGCCGTGAGGATGAGTCCCCCGATGTCGACACAGAGGACACATGCGCTTGTCGGCTGAAAGGGAGGTTACACTAAACACTAGACCATTAGTAAGTATCCTCAAGCAGGACAAAATTTTTCCATGTTAATGTCACCCGTCTGCACTGTGCGTGTTTGGTTGCTCGTATGGTCACGCGAGAGTGGTGTTTACCGATCTGTCACCGGCGGCAGAGAGAAGTCTGCGGGCGGTGACACGGAAAAGTGGCCAATCAGTAACCGATAGCTGATGCCTACAAAAGGATAAGAAGATTGGAACAGTCAATTCTGGCAAGTTTGTTCTCGACGTCAGCCATATTCAACTCAAGCCAGGAGAACCGAGGTGTTGACCAGACTTCTACTAAATTACTTTCCCGTCTCGCTTGACCTAGATGGCCAGTTTAATAATATTCCGGCGCCCTTATATGATCCACTTTGAGAGCAGGAATTTATTCAAGCTTATCAAATCCTCCAAGGACTTTGCCTTTTACATGAGCTGCTGCTCGAAATAATTAATGGGTGACTCGCCGGAATGGGAGAAGTCTGACCTTGATAAAATTTGACATTAAAGTTAGTTTGCCGTGCGATTCCCCCCCCCCTTCCGATGCTAGAACAGACAGTATGAAGCCGAACAGAGCCGGCTTCCTCTTAAGCACTCTTTTTATTAACCCGAGGAATACGGCTTCTTTGGCAAAACGGCGCTCACTGGTCGTGTTACCGAACTCACTCGCCCAACCAGCAGCTGCACAGCGGCGCATACTATAGGCAGAATGGCATTACCGACAAAAACAAGGGAGACTGAAACGGCCATTTCTGGCTTATTAGCCGTCTTCAGCCAGTCATACCCAACCGCGAGGTGTGAAACACCTGGGGCTCGACCCCGCGACCTGTTGGTTAAACGTTTAACGCCCCTAATCACTGGGCTACGGGCTCGTTGTCCTGTCGGCTGCGATCGGGGTAAGATGTGGTTATGTGGCCACACCTACGGTGAGCAAACCCCAGCCACCTGTAATACGAGACCGGTGATAATAGGGCTTTATACAGGTGGGACCGGAGAACGCATAGGCGACGACGTCAAGTAATTGTATGCAAAGGAAAAGCTATTGGGAATGCGTGGTTGCACTTTGAGTGATTGAATATACTTGCCCTAACCCATAACCCTAACCCCTGACTTCAGCCCTTCACCTCAGCTTTAAGCCCTAACCCTGAAACATTTAGCGTGAAAGTTAGAAGGGGACGACAGGCCGAAAGTCAAGAAGGACCACCGGCCTTGCGTCGAAAAAGGTAGACATGGCAGCAAATAAACAAGGCTGCCAGCAGAACGCACACCCCAACGCACAGCAACACCAAGCCAACGTAATCACACCAACTCAGAATAATTAGGTGGGTCAACAGTATTGTGTCCATCAGGTGCGGCCATACAACCACATTTCATCGCGTTCCGGTATATACAGTGGTAGAGGGGCGCTCGCCGATGGTTTATAGTTGTGTCTTGGGACTCTCCCGAGCCCAACCAGTCTCCATTGTCTTTGTCGGTAATGTTATATAGCTTCTTTCCCTTGTGGCATCAGCACGATTATCTTTTAGATGAAACCATGAATGCAATGCTTCTTTACTGCATTAATGATTACTTCTAGAATCTGAACTTTGTAGTCTCGCGTCAAATCCCGACTCCACCATCCGTGACATATGACGGATGGAGAACTCTCCGCGGCCCACAAGTTCTTCTCTAGTTATGCAACGCGTGCGAGATTGACCTAGCAAGGGGACACATTAGTTGCATTTTTAACAATGTCGTTAAGTCGATGCATGGGTCGACGCATGCGGCAGCACGTTGTGATGTGACTGTTGTCGGTTTTCTTTCCACTTCCATCACTCGGAATCCCCAGAGGACTTTACTGCGCTTCGAGGGTGATAGAAGTTCAGTGATCTCCCCTAGACTGCAAGCGCTTCCGTCATATTTGCATCATTGTGCCTAGCCACTACCCTTATTCCCCGTAAAAATGCAAGTTCACCGTCTCTACCTTTGTTTAACTATAATCAGCTTTCTTTCCAGCCAGAAGGCAACTCAGGTTGACAGTAAAGTTACCTTCCATTCTCACAGAAAATTGCACTGGCGTGACACCCACTTGCGGGAGGGGATGTAGGCCTGCCCTTCCGCAAGAGTAAATAACAGGCTTCCATAAAAAAAGTGGGGGAGGAAGGAGGCGTACAGAGACGGCATCATTCGTAATTCAGGCAAACAAGACTTTGGGGATTATGCAGTTGCCGGATGACAGAGTCAAGGGTGGTCCCCAAAGTAACCTTATTTTTACTTTCTGCGTCATCCTCCTGATGGCATATTTCTAAGTAGGTGGTGATGGTGGTGGTGGTGCCAGTGGTGGTGGTGGTGGTGCCAGGGATGATGATGATGATGATGATGATGATGATGATGATGATGATGATGATGATGATGATGATGATGATGATGATGATGATGATGATGATGATGATGATGATGACGTTCTCACGCCGCTGTTTCTGAGCGCTTAATGACAAATAGTTTTGGTACTGTGGGCATGGACGTTTTGCCAGTAAAATAACAGTTTCCCCCACAGGTTGCACTGCTCAGTTCACGTTGCTCCCTTGTGGTCACTGTCGAACCCGAAAAATGCGAGCTTTGAGTTCGTAGATTCTCGTAATAATCGATGCTTCCAGACAGTAGAGTGGTAATTTCAATGACCTGAAGTACAGAATGCACCCTCCATGATACTAAGGTTTCCATCGGGAGACTGGGACGGTTTGATGTGACGCTCAAGTGTCCCCGATAACTCAAGTAAGTCACCCCTCCAGGCTGTGGGAAGATCACAAACCAGATTGCTGGGACAACCCTCCGACATAAATCCGCTCTGTGGTGACACAGATCTTCTTTTGCGATCTATAGTCACCGTTATACTGAAGTCATACGACTAGTATGTTTCGTGGGACATTCATATTTCAGTCTTGCAGTCTACAGTAGGTGGGCTAACTCATGAAATGTCAACCGAAACTCCCAAATGGGCTTTCGTTTCGAAAAAATGAATTAAGTAGGGTTGTAAAACTAGTCAGCCTGCAACATAATTCTATAACATTTCAGTTACGCCAAGATGCCGACTTTCGAATGAACTTCCTTCCGGCTGCATGCAAAAACTACACTCTGTGAAAAACGACTACTTATTTACCATGAATTTTTCTCATTGATTTTCGATGCCCCTAAGTGTCCAATTATATTTCATGGAAAACTTGCGTAAAAATATTCATTCTTTTGTTTATTTGGTAGACAATTACGTCTTCTTCCAATTTTGGGCTCGAAGGAGGACATACTTCGGTTTTTAAAAAAATTCTAATTGTGGGACTTTTAAACAGCATGGAATAACCGTTCATAAATCGTCACGTCTCTGAATTTACCAATGTGGCTTGTAGAGGTAACAATAGGGCTCAAATCTTCTTCTACATTTTATGAACCCTATATAGTTCCCCTTTATTACTGAAGAGAAATGTGTGGTTTTTCGTACGCCGAAAATATACGGCTTGTAGTTTGGAAACCCTGAATCCAATTGTAATAGCAGGTTGGGTTCAAAAGTATTCGGTAATTGGAAAAGTTTTTGAAAACCGAATTATACTCTTTCTTCAAGTATAAAATTGGGAGAAGACGTAATTATCTACCGAATGAGCAAAAGAATGAATATTTTTGTGCATGTTTTCCATGAAATATAATTGAACACTTAGGGGCATCGAAAATCAATGGGAAAAATTCATGCTACGTAAGTAGTCGTTTTTTACAGAGTTTAGTTTTTGCGTGCAGCCAGAAGGAATTTCGAAATTTCGTTGGCATTTCATGAGATAGCCCACCTACTGTAGCTCTTGGCAAACCGGAGTTTCAAGCATAACACAGCATGGGGACTAACTGACTCAACTTGATGCTGGAAATGTGGATAACCAATTTTAGACCATTAAAACGTGGTAGCCAGCTTATCACTAGATAAGGGTGTTCAATTGACCAAAAGCATATTCGCTGCTGACTTTCGTTATGAATGTTCACTTTTTCGACAGTTATTTTTCATGTTCGGATGAGTCCCTAAATGTGACCTAAACGGTCATCTACAATAAAAAGAAGAAGAATACCCAAATACCTAATACACAGGTAAGCCCTTTTCAGAAATATCTTGGTTTGATGGTTTTGATAAATACATAGCCTAGAACCTATCTGTATATGCGAACACTGGAAAGCCGTGATAATCTTACGACATTCGTTGACATATTAATGACAGCGCGAAGCTCAACGGACTTCATAATCGGCGAAAACAGCACATACATTTTGCCAAAGAAAAATTCTTTTAATGTATGCAAAGTGTCATGCGTACGATTACATCTGTCAGTTCCATTCACACTTAGTAGTCACTGACCGTGGCGTCTTTACCAGCGAAATTAAACCAAATCCGCTCTGTATTTATCAACCGCGTCTCTAGCAAAACAAAAGCGGAAAAAAACGCATCCATTTCGTGAAACGTATCGCCGGACATTGCCTACTTGACTTTGTTCCGGACTACATATTGTAATGAATCTTGGAGAACATTTACCGAAAATGCATGTATAAAATATTTTTAAACGTTGCTACGCCTGTACCGTTTTATGTACCCAGTTTTTGCATAGATAAATATCATCAACAAAACTGTACTTGTAATAGGCAGCATAACTTGACCCACAAAGACCAGAGAGATCGGAATGGCCATTTCTGACTTATTAGACGTTATCAGTCAGCCATACCCCATCCCAGGCGTTGCAACTCCTGAGGCTCGATCCCGCGACCTGGGGGGTTAGAAGTCAAACGCTGACTGATTGGTCGCGCTTTATAGGCCAGAAATGATGGCCATTCCAGTCTCCTCTGCCCTCTTTTGTAATGCCATTCTGCCTATATATGCATTACTAACCGCTGTGCGGCTTTTGGCAGGGCAAGAGATTAAGTTCCACGACAGCTTGACTGTCGTTACCGAAAATGTCCACCGTGTGCTCCATAGCATGGTGAGGGGAGGCACCGCGACTTGCGCAGCATCTATCGCAGCCTCTCCTCCTCTTTTACCTGGACCCGCCGTCATGACAGAGCCAAGAAGACCGAAAGTGGAGAGCGCGCAGGTGGTTGGCATGGCGAAACAGTAGGTAGATGTACCGCCACGCCTCCTAGTCCATAACCAGGGTTTTACACACAGCAAGAGAAGAGGGCGGAGTGGTAGGGATCCTGATTGGCGCGGTTTGAATCGTCACAAGGGCCTGCCACCACACTCCCAACGGTAGCATTCGTTATGAGTGCGCGTTCCCAATAACCCACGTCGGATCCTGATCCAGCCTCCATGTTGGTCTAGTGCATCTGCCGCGTGGCCTATTTTTGGGGGGGTCCTCACATATTAACTCGCACATTTCAATCTATGCATTTCCTTCTAAACACTGAATCGTTTAAGTAGTAAACCTTGCCTGCGTGATCATACCTCTATATGAGTAAATGTTATACCCTGTTGCGGCAGGCGGCGAGTGTGTTGGAAGGAAAAGACGGAAGGCACCAGAATGAGGGGTTTAATGTGCACAGAAACCGGAGTTGTCCTCTCAGGCGGCAGTGGCCACCGGCGAAGCCAGGGCTGGTGTTGACTGCGTCCAGTCATGCCCTGAGAGTCCATGGGACAGTGGTGGCAGCGGCTTTTGTAGGCTAGTGGGTCAAGCTCAAGTGGTCTCCAATTGGCGTGTGTTGCATTTGTCGAGGGGTGGTGTCCCAGTGGCTTGTTTTGCTGGTTGCAGGGGCTGGCCCGTTCAAGTGGCGCATGGGTAGCTGCGAGGCTGTGTGGACGCAATTGTGCCCGAGCTGAAGTCGGTCGAGTGGTTTCAGGTCAGCTTGTCCGGGACGGCTCGCTGCAAGGGGTGAATGAGATTGAGACAGCGAGGTATTTAACAATGGCACCAGACCGGTAATAATTGCTGTCCGCTACAACCCTATCAATAGAATTACAGCCCCACTATGTTGCAATAGAGTCGCCATGGCTTCTTTTATTCTGCGACTTTAGGACGTACGTTACCACCTGTAAGTAAGCACGCTTTCAAATGCATTATCTTTGAAAAAGGCAGCAAAACTTCGACTGTACCGTTGTAGCCCAGGGAAATTAATCTGGTTTCCGTGGTATCACCTTTAATATTCGTATGTCTGCCTAATCTTTTTTTCTGTCGAACGCTTTAGAGTCGTTTTGCGCGAATTCTAGCTGTTCTTGATTATGACAGATAAGACTTTCCGATGGTCCTTTCTGTATTCGCCATATGGTGAGTATTGGCATAACTCGTTGGAAGTCATGGAAGTCTTGTCCTGGCTCTAAGGGAGGCTTGACGGCTATTAGCCAGAAATGACCAGACCGGTATCTCTTCTTGTCGGTAAAGAGTTTTCGAGTTGTGATTGAATATATTACTGAAATTAAGCCAGTAGGTATTACTTTTGGCGTAAAACTCTTAACGATGCGACCAAACCGAATGCGACCAGATAGGCACGAGCTCGAATAGTCAGGCCCTTCAATCCCAATCAAGTGCTCCGCGAATAAAAACTAAAAAGTAGTGGTAGAGCACGGGAATATAGACCCCTCCTGCAATACAAGTAACCCTACACTAAACTCCAGGGGGGTGGTCAGGGCCAGGGTTACGAGGTTTAGTGTTATTTTGAAGCTTAGAGTTAGGATACCGAAATAGGAACCCTCTGGAATTTAGCGCAAGGTCACCTGTGGGGTGGGGCTAACCAAAGTGATCAGACTTGACCGCATCCAGCGTAACAAAGCGCATATCCTCTTAATTCATTATTTGGTCTATATAGAATTTCAGACATAGCTTAAGTCGGGGTGGGATTTTTTATAATGTCCAGTCTCAGTGCATTTTACAAATTTTAGATTAAAAGTAATAATTGTTATTTGGAGATCCTCTCATTGTCTGGGCGTACTTTTGTTGCATCCGCCTTAGTGAGAGTCCAACACGGGTCCCTGACGGACTCCTCTGGCGCCTGACCAATGTAGCAAACACGTCTCCGGGTGGGCACCTTAACTTCTGTCAGACGGACATTTCCGACTTTTCTCGGCGGAGGCCAAACGGGCTAAGATTAACGACCACATAAACGGATAATCAATTGGGCAGAAAGCAAACAGAGTGATCTAAATATGCAACCATTGGTGAAAACACAGGCGTTGATAAAGGATGGTCAACTGTGATAGTTCCGTTTTTGAAGGACGGCAAAACTGATATTCTGGAGTTTGTTGGAACATGCCTCTGTGTAAAAACGAAATTTGCGCAAGGTTTCTAAGCAATGTCATCTTAGGAAAATTATCATACTCTAACCATCACTTACTTCATCTGTCAAAGGGCAGCAGAACGGTTGCCGAAGTTTCCCCTGGTGATGGCTGTCCACTCAGCTCCAAACGGTTTTTGCATATTTATACAATCAGATGTGTAATGTGTAACCACATCGCCAGACAGGCAAGTGTCCTATATAACATCAACAGGGAGTAATATCTGATTGGAGTAGTTTTGGTCCCATCAAAAGTTTCAATCGCAAAGCCACTTCGACCTTCCGGGGATTGTTCAGCATCACAGAGGAGCAAATGATGTGAGTCAATGCTAATTGGCTCTTCTCCCCTCTCATGACGTCCACTAACCTATCATCCTATCCGGCCTGTAATCCATGCTGTCATCGACCGTTCTATTCTGTAGGTTAGTTAGATTCACTTGGTTATACCGAGATCATCTTCGTCAGACACAGAGAGAGAGAGAGAGAAAGAGAGAGAATGATTGCTTGTCTGTGTGATTGGTGAGCATTTATTAGGGAGAACAACAAAAGGATGTTCTTCCTTGGGCGTCGAGAAACTGAAAGGAGCTGTCATTTTTCTGTCCGATAATTTCCACACAACTTTACATTTATGCTAGTCGCGCGTTTCAGTTAAGCTCTTTTCCTCTCAGCCATTCCATTTCTGATAGTTGAGCATCGCGACTTGGGCCATGACGTTATTTTCTATCAGCGGGAAGCTGTTTTGCCTGTTTTTAAGTTACCGTTTTTTTAGGCCGTACTCTACAACAGGCCACGCTGGATTTGCGCTGGACCTATATGGGGATCAGATCGTGCTACGGCACGCGTTATTGAGCTGCGCATTCGCGACAAATGCCATAGATTTGAGGGTATGATGGCACGCCTAGGCTCAAGTTCACGCTTCACACCAACCAACCCTCCCCCTTTCCCCGTCTCTAGTCTTCTCGCCTCTGTCCTGACACGAAGACCAGCCGGCTGAGGGAGAAGCGAGTGCGGTAAACGCAACAAAAGTCTGCCAACACTCTAAACTACTTCACGCACAAGTCACCGTCTCTGCGCAAACCCTGCTGTGGAGCACACGAAGGACATCATCGGAAACGACGGTCAGATTGCCATTCTGTTTTATCATTTTTCCATTTAATAAGCAAGCAAATACCAGTAGCAGCTGAATAAAATGTTAGGAGGAAAGCGATTAAATACTTTTTTCACTGGGAAAATTCTATGAGTATTTCCTTGTCAAAGCTGCCAGCCGGCACTTGTTGGCTTCATTCTCCACTCGATCTTACCAGGCCCGTCGGCAAATTTGAGCACTAGTTAATGCTGCTTATCGCTTACTGATATTTAGCTAGTAACGGTGATCGATAGACTGATCACACTCCGACTCAGGAGTCGTATTAATGCAGGCTTGACTGTTTTGCCTGTAGGACTCGTATTGTCACCGTAAACTAAAAGGCAAAGCCTGCATCGAGTTGGAAATGTACCACGTAATGGTTAATAAACACTGACTTAAAAGGACCGGCATAAACAGAAGATTGAAAAAGAATGGCAAGAGGGACAACTATAAAACTCGGTATGGGAATAAAAAATATGCTAAAGCAGTGTCATACAGTAGATGTGCTAACTCATGAAATGTCAACCAAAATTTCGAAATGCGTTCTCGTTTCGAAAAGATAAATTAAGTAGTGTTGTAAAAATAATCATGATGCAGTATAAATCTATAATGATCCAGTCACGTAAGGGTGTTGGCTTTCGAAAGAACTTATTTTTGGCTGCATGCAAGATCTATACTCTGCAAAAAATGACTACTTATGTAGCATGCAATTTTCTCATTAATTTTCGATGCCCTTGAAAATTCAATTATAACATGCATAAAAATATTCATTCTTTTACTTTTTCGGTAGAAAATCACGTCTTCTTCCAATTTCATACTCAAAAGAAGAGTACAATTCGGTTTTAAAAACGTTTCTAATTGTGAGATTTGTAAATAACGTGAGGTGGCCGTTCATAAAACGTCATGTATCTGCATTTACGAATGTGGCTTGTAAAGTTAACAATATTGCTCAAATCCACTGCTTAATTTTATGAACCTCATATGACCTCCCCTTAACACTGTAGAGAAATGCATGGTTTTCCGTATACGGAAAATATACAGCTTGTAGTTTTGAAACCCTGAATGCAAGTGTAACAGCAGGTCGGGTTCAGAACTATTCGGGAATTAGAAAAGTTTTTTAAAACCGAATTATACTCTTCTTTTGAGTATGAAATTGGAAGAAGACGTGATTTTCTACCGAATAAGTAAAAAAATGAATATTTTTATGCATGTTTTCCATGAAATATAATTGAATTTTCAAGGGCATCGAGAATCAATGAAAAACACATGCTACTTGGGTAGTCATTTCTTTACAGAGTATAGTTATTGCATGTAGCCGAAAAGAAGTTCGTCCTGAAGCCGGCATCCTGAGGTAACTGGATTATTATAGAATTATGCTGCAGGACTATTAGTTTTACAACCCTATTTAATTAATCTTTTCGAAACGAGAACGAATTTCGAAATTTTGGTTGACATTTCATGAGTTAGCACATCTACTGTAAATTCGTGCACCTTTCATACGGCAATTCCACCGTTGTATAAATAAGCGAGAAGCGTTAGCAGGTAAATGACCGGTCATTAAGCATGTGTTCGCGTTTAGCAAATCAGACTTCCTTGGAAACTTTGACCTTGTTAGACTCCTTGCGCTCTCGAGACTTTTTACGCTTTACCTCCTCTAGATTGAGCATGGTCCCTACGTCATTAGTTCGTTGTTATATTAACCGCCTTCGCCTCCGCCCACACTACCGCAGCCGCCACTATGTCGACGACCACCACTACCACTATCGGCGAACAAACTCCCGATGTTCCGTCGCCTAACATCACCCCCACCATTAATACCACAAGCTCTTCATCATCGCCGGAGAGAACATTCCCGAGGCCCTGCCACCTACCACGACCTCCGCCACCTCTCCGCGCACCAGCAATGCGGACTTGGTCCTAACATGCCCCCACTGTGATCGAACGCCCACATCACCCACGAGTCTAGTCGGTTACATGCGAATGCATCATCGCCGAAATCATGACGGACCAGCGCCAGAAGCATCAACATACACCAGTAGCACTCACCTCAACTGCTCGCACTGCCCACGCACACTCATCGCGTGGACCTACTTGGCCACATACGCCATCATTAAGATTTTCGGTAGAACATCGCAGTCCCAACCTCATCACCACAAATACACATACCTAGACCACGTGTCACATCATCCAGCACCTGCGCAGAAGATGCACGACCTGATCACTGCATCGTGTGCATCGCACGTGGACGGACTATCGTAACTCAGTTGGTTACGGCATCCAATCCCAACACCAGCTGTTTGACCGACTCGAACAGTCAAGCGGGGCATGGGGGAGGGGGGCAAGAGACCGACTCTGCGGATCCATTTCTCACTATCATGAATCTGAAGTAGTCGAACCCATCACGACGCTTCGAAAGTCGTGGCTTTAAGGATTGTCAACCGACGAGATAATTCGATCCTCGTGGCCAGTGCCGTGAGTGGGGGGAATAACTAGCTCGGGGATTGGCAGTCAGGACCAATGGCTCCTTCTTAACGCCTCCCTCATGACACCCCCTAAGATGAAATCAATGCCACCCTGTGTTTTTGCGAATGCACGGCCCAATGTGCCGGCACCATGCCGTGTGTTGTCCGCGTAGACGGACAGTTTGGCCTTGTCAGCCATTGCACCCAATCCGACCTCTGGCCTTTTTGACTCTGTCTTGTCACCAGGCCGAAATTTGGAATGGATGGGGAATGCAGGGGACGTTGTGAACTAATTTACGCGCATGTCATCGTCTTGCGCCCTCCTTGTCGCGGGACCCATGGTAGACACCGTCGCTAGAGACAATGAGAATGTCAATAATTTGCCTTCGAATTTCGTAAAGCCACCAAAGAACATTGCGCGTAGGCCTTTCCGTTTTTTCAAACACCCTTCGGATGTTCTATTCGTCCAGGAACTGTTAACTGTCTTGCGCAAATACTCATGAAATTTTGTCTAAGTTTGGCAAATCTATATATGGTGGCAAATTTATGATCCGAAGTAGTACTTTATACATGCACATATAGTAGGTATTCACATGAAAAAGTACAGCCAGAAAGAAAGAAAATTTCTGGCACATCAAGTCATTGCCTTTCCCGCGTTGATGGGTAAATTGATGTGCACCACTGTCTCATGTCGCTTCGTTCCCATTGCGGAGTTCGTGAATATTTATGTAATCATGTTACTGTAATGTTGCTAGTAGTATATTTATGTTTATCACGTCGCCAGCTTTACTGCCTCGTCACGCGCAAAACAGGATTTTCAAGGAATTCGCTTACGTCTGCTAGACTATACTGAATTAACTTTTGCAGCTTTTTAATTTCCTCAGAGATTAATCACTGCAGGGTCGGCTCAGACATCGCATGCGTAAGAAAAAGCCACTGAAGCATGACTTTCAGCCTTGAAAAGGACCTAGTTATCCCGTTACTTGAGAGCCTTCCAAGCTACGATTCTCAGCTCGTCGAGTTGGATTCAAATACCCCGTGATTTGTTACAGTGGGGACTGCGCTGATATGCTGGGGGGAGTGGATCTTCCGACACTGACCTCACTCTCTGTCTCTCACGGAAATCCGAATTCAGGTTTAAAGCTCTCTTATATTTCGCGCAATTCATTAGTTTGAAGGTAGGGAATTAATTATTTCCCGAGTGAAGGTAAAAAGTCAAAAAAATTCACAAAACAGGGATAGCATTGGCAGATAAAATAAAACAAGGGGTATTACTGTCCATGAACGTAATTGGAACAATGATTTGTCGCCTAGGTTAGCTTCTTCTTGAAAATAAAGAGTTCGCAGCCAGTTTTAAAAAGCATATACGTCGACAACGTGGTTTCAAACGAAACCGAAGCCTTCAGAGTAAATATTCAGTTGAGCAAGTGAGCAAAAACTGAGTGAGCATCCGCCTTACAATTTGCCCGACAAATTCGGCCCAAGCAGAAGAGTTCTGGAGAAACTCCCTTCCTCAACAGACGTCTTCTTGAGGTGGAAACTGCAGGCAGCAACGAGACTGACTCCTTTATGCGTCCGCCTAGCGGTCCCCTCGAGGTCACTCGTGTGCACATCTTTGCCAACATAATTCTCCGCCCGTCCAGATATAGCTGTGAACGAGGGACGCCATTTGAATTTCCCCTGTAATGTCATTGACATGGACAGCTGTCTCAGAAAGTTTAACGTACCCGAAAAAGTAAATTTGAAAGGTGCAAGAACTGGCGAAGGCACCGTCAAAAATACTCGAGTCAGTAATCAATAAATGTTAACAACGAAGCCTAAGAACGCTCCGAGTTCTGTAAGAGACTTTAAAAGGTTGGGCCATCTTTGCCAGTCTTGATGCTGCGCAGTTATTGGGACAGTTCTGGCTGCTGACCAAACTTTCACAAAGTTTAACGCAGGGAGTCGCTGAGAAAGCGTGAGATGAAGCATGTATGGCACGTTCAATTGCCACTATGCTCGTACGTGCAACTTCTGCTGTAGGCTACCTCCATTATGGTGTCGGCACGGGCCCCTCCATCATGAAAATAAGTATCGCCACATTGCTACTGAGACGGTTTCAGTAGCGTGACTATGCCGACAGTCAGTTATCAGCCCACGCCTACCAAGCCCATCATGTCAAACGAGGTTGGCATTGGCATTGTCCACGCCCTCAAGAACCCAGTCCCTGCTTATCTAGTTAGCTCAGGTAGGCAGCAATCGTCCCTTGGGAGCAGAAAAAATTAAATGGTCATTAAAAAACTGGATGAACCCCAAGCAACCGCGACCAAGGTGACTGCTCAAAGCAACATCAATTCAACTGAGTCTAAACTCTTGCGTCACGGAAAACTTCCTACGAAAGCTACAGCCTCTGCGACTTCCAACAAGCTTCACTGTAGTCAGGGCGATTCGCAGATCGTGGAAAAGTCTTCCTCCCCCTCCCCCATTCGACCACTCAATTACCTACTTACTCAACTTGTCCAGAAGTTGGGGAATCACAATCGTATTTATGTGGAAATACTGTTACAGTGCCCGTAAAGCAACGAGTTACGGTTGTAACGGATAGTGTGCGAGAGTGACTTTGCGAACACACCTAGGGTCCGGAACAAAGGTATACTCGGACACACGAAGAGAGGAACACTGTTGTAGTGAGTGTTTTGCTGCGCCGACTTCAAAAGGTAAATGACTAACTATGGAGACGATGTCAGCTGCCCAAGAAGGCATGCAATGAGCATATCTATGTGTCGTTAAAAAGCCCTGAAGAACAAACATCGAGGATCAAGCTTCTGGACGAGTAATACGGCAATTCCGCCGCTTTAGGGACCACTAGCCCTTTAACTATCCCGTAAAAGGAGTCCGGGATTCTTGCCGACAGTATGACGATACTATATGGAGCAGGTACCCGAACGGTGTAAAATTTAATTTGGAAAAAAAGACGACTCACTGTTTGCAAGTAGATACGTTAATTTACAAAAAATTACAAGTTAGGAAGCATGTGACATCTACCATTGAGGGCTCTCGCACTGCAGAATATAGCCTTGATATAAAACATTTCTAAATGGCAACAGTTCGTATACAAATGCAAAATGGGATAGGAAGTGGTGGTGGCGATGGTTGTGGGGGAGGCCAGAAGGTATGACAGTACATGCACGTGTGTCCAGGATGACGAACACAAAGGCGTGGTATGCGCGTAGTAGCAAGTGAATGCAGGCGCCCGTCATGTCTGCGAATGGCAAATACATGCAGTTTATGCGTTGCGAGGGGGCACAGGAGAAAGTCCCTCTGAACTTGATGAGAGGCTTGGAGAGGTCGGACCACCCTCGCTGCGAGCAGTGGTAGTGGCACCAGCAGCAGCAACTGTGGCATCCTGCCCCTCCCCGACGGCGCCAGCAGGAGTGTTAGCCGCTGAGTCCCCCTCCGCTTCATCCGTCTCCTCTAGCACACCTCGGTGCCGTCTGGGACGTGAACTGGCATTGGAGTCGGCGTCTTCTGTGCCCTCTGTATGCGGACTGCCCGGTGGCGTGGAGGTCGGGGTGGCCTCCCTTCGGTGGTCGCCTCTGGCCCCTTCATCGTTGAGGCGACGGAAAAGAGAGGGAGTCGAGGCTGAGGTAAGCAATTTTGCCGGTTTTGGAGGAGGGCTCGGAGGCATCCGCAGGGGACTCAGTGTAAGCGGAGAGTGGGTGTAACTGGGATTGGGATAGGCCATCCTACGTTTTTTGGATCGAGAGCTTAGTTCGACCTTCTCACGCTGTAGTGTGCGGATAGTCTCCTGTAGAGAATTTAAGAAAAAATGTGTGATTATGCAAAGGCGTGCAAAATACGTCATATTTTAACGGATTGCTTCCCCTACCTTTAGGCGGTTTATTTCGTCTTCGGCTGAATCTTGATACTTCAGTAAACGCTCGCGGCTACTGGTTTCCATCTCGAGAATCTCAGACTTGAGATCCGAAATGGTTTGATTCTTCTTCAACAGCTCGGCATCCTTCAGCTGGAGCTGACGTTTTAGGGCCTTAATATCGTCCTGAAGTTGGCCAATAGTAAGAATGTGCTCATCGTACGCGGAATCCATACTGTCAGTAAAATAATCAGCAGAATGAGTTTGAAAAAACATACGCATACTACTAGGAGCTTGAAAGTATGTGTTTAGTACAAACTGAGGGAATAGGTACCTGTAAGCGTGAGCACTCGTTGGTCGTGATGATACGGAGTGATGAGTCGTATAGTCCTCGGTCCTTTGTCGTTTAACAGCACTGAGACTGTAAAAGGACCCGTTTGAGGAATAACGATATTGCAAATTAATCTGGCATTATGAACGGGACTATTTGTTGAAAACTGCAATAAACTAGAAAATTTTCGATCGGCTGGAGTTGAGTCCGACGGCGCCAAATTATTCGTACAGGTCAGTGGGGACTTGGATGAAGGGAGAATTTAAACGAAAACGCGATAAAATGGATGGCGACAAAAGTCCAGTTCCAGAATCCCCAGATCCTTTCACAAGGATAGAAAAACGATAAATGGGCTTTCGGAAGACAACTTTACACTTCCTGGCAAACGGGTGGTTGTAGTTGTTATGAGAAGAAGAAAACAGAATAGAACCACGACTTAAAGCGAGAGAAAAACGCGAACATGCAGGGCACAGCAGTCCAAACCGGCTGTGAAGTGTACGCGTAAGTTCAGCTAGCCAATCAGCATGAGATGCCTTTACCCGCGCGTGCGGCCCAATCAATGGCCGACCGAAGATTCGGGATTTCTTCGCGAGGGGGTTCTCTCGCAGGAAACGACCAATTGTCGACCAGCAAGGCAGGAACAAGAATGTTCTAGAGCCGTTAGGAATCGAACGAATAAGGCTTTTTCACAGTTTACCTTTGTGTTAGTGAGACTGGCTGAATAAAGAGATTGATCCTAGAACTCGCCTTCCCTCTTCCGCATCGCCCACCAAGACCATAACTGCAGTTTGACCGTCGGTTTCGACGATGTCCGCCGTGTACTCCACAGTGGGGTGTGAGTAGGGACGGTGACTTGTGCAAAAATTTAGTTTATAATGATGATAGACTTACACAGCATCTAGCGCACTCTCTCCTCTCCCACCCGCGCCCGGTTTCAAGACAGAGCCAAGACCGAAGGCGGGGAGGGCGCAGGTGGATGGCACGGTCGAGCCCGCACCTTGGCGTTCCACTCCACACCCCCTGATCCACACAGCAAATAGCCAGGTTTTTAACTAACAACAACAACAGTGGGGGGATGGCAGGGTCCATGTGCGCGACGCACGCCGGCAACCGGGTCTGCCATCGCATCCCCAAAATGTTGGCATTTGTTACAGTGCGCAAAGCCGATAATGCCTGCCAGAATCTGATATGGCCCCGTGTTGGTCCAGCGCATCTACCACGTGGTCCGTTTGGGGCGCACCCAAGACCATAACAATGAAGTACAGGCTGCCCTCCATCTTGCCGAAATTCCGTCCATCAAAAATATTCCCCGGATTATGGTTTCCTCGACTTCTTTCAAACCATTTTTGCACTCACATTATAAATTCCACTTATAGCATTCTCTCAGACAGCTGGCCTGACCTAGTTACAACGCATTTTCACGTGCAGATTTTGCAGCAATAAATTTTACCGGCTTATGATCCAGCTCCCTTTTCACCCAATGGGCTGTACTGGTCATTTTACTCGGTCGAGGTCAGTCTGCGTTGACCGAAAGTTTGTCAATTAGCCCCTTAACGACAGTTTTCAGCAAATAGCTTTGACCGCGTCCTCTACAACCACAACTCTTCAGACGTTCGTCTGACTTCAAACAAAATACAAGTGAAGAACTGTGCAGATCGAGTGCCTACATAAGACGTTAGTCAAGTGAAAAGATCTCGTTCGCGAGCGCGATTCCGATGCGGCCCATATTTGCGTCGTTGTGAGGCTCGGCGATAGGCTGTGGCCAGCGTTCCTAGTGGGTGTGTCAGTCTTGCCTAGCTTCTCCGCACGATATGGCATCTCTGACGCGGATATCCCCGATCCCCTTATTGAGACCACTGAGAACTCTCCAGCGTCTCCATTAGTGTCATCGTTGTAGAATTTCGACCGTCGCAGGTGCCGACGTCCACTGCGTGCCCAAGGGGGGTGGACTTGCGTAGCATATACCGCACTCCCCCCTCCCTCGTTCACCAACTGTCGATAATAAGGTACTAACAGGAAGACGGAAAGGTATTTTCGGGCGCATCGGCTGATAATGCTAAACAGTGAGTAGTATGTTATTACCGACAAAGATAAGGGAGGCTGGAATGGACATTTCTGGCTTATTAGCCGTCGTCAGCCATTCATACCCAACCCCGAAGTGTGGAACACGCGAGGCTCGAACTCTCGACCTGTTAGTTAGAAGTCCACGCCTCTAACCACTGGGCCACGAGTCCGTTGCCCTGTCCCTTTCGATCGGGAATATACAATGGTAGGGGGCGCTCACCGATCGTTCTTACGGAATTCACTCGTTCCGTTGTGCCTTACGAGTTCTCTCTTTCTCTCTCTAGCCCAACCACGGCTAATGAGCCAGAAATGGCCATTCCAGTCGCCCTTGTCTTTGTCGGTAATGCCATTCTGCCTATATCATGCGCCGCTGAGCGGCTGCTGGTTGGGCTCGAGAGAGAGCCCGTAAGGCACATCGGAACGAGTGAGTTCCGTAAGAACGATCGGTGAGCGTCCCCTACCATTAAACAGCAAGTCTACGCCCTTGCGATTGTCGTAAAGGCCACAGTGGGGAGTCACTGCAGCCTGACTCTCCGTAGACTGGTGATTACAACCCGCAATCGCACCGTTTGCAGGGGGTCAGTGGAATACGGGGCTGGCAGATATCCAGTGACGTCTTGGAAAAACTCAAGATTGTGAAGTACAGCAGCTGTGTCATCGCAGGAAATGCAGACCGAAATTCTGAAATGTATTTTCATTTACTTAAGTAGGGTCGTAAGACTAGCTGTTGCACAAAAAATACTTCAGCCCCGCCAGGATGTCGGCCTTGGAATGAGCTTTCTTCCGGCCGCTTGCAAAAACTACACTCTGCAAAAAATTATCACTTATGTAGTCCGGATTTTGCTCACTGACTTTCGATGGCCCTACACATTCACATTTACACAATAAAAAATACTGTTTCCCAAATAATTCCATCTTCCGAATTCAAATATACTCTATAGAAAACATAAAAATATTTTTCCTATGCTTAGTTGCCAACAAATCACGTTTTCATCAAGTTTTTTACTTCAAGAAAGGGCATTTTTGATTTAAAAACTTTATAATTATGAGACCCTTTAAAACCATAAAGTGTCTACTCTTAAGGTATCGTATCCATCCATTTATTAATGCTGCTTGTAAAGTATACAACAGGACCCACATCTACTACAAAATTTTACAGGCCCTATATGACGCCTTCTCGACAGAATATATAAACGTGATTGGTAGTGGGGCGCTCACCAATCGTTCTTACGAAACTCACTCGTTCCGTTGTGCTCTCTCGAGCCCAACTAGCAGAAGCACAGCCGCGCATATTATAGGCAGAAAAAAATCAAGGGAGACTGGAATGGTCATTTCTGGCTTACTTGCCGTCGCCAACTAGTCATACCCAACCCCGAGGCGTGGAACACCTGGGGCTCGATCATGCGACCTGTTAGTCAGATGTCCAACGCCTCTAACAACTGAGCCACGGGCTCGTTGCCCTGTCGGTTTCGATCAGGATAGACAGGGGAGGACAGACAGCCTGTAGTTTTCAAACCTCGAATGCAAATGCAATGGCAGGTATGGTTTAAAATTATTCGGAAATTGATGTTTTGCAACCGAAATATACTCTTTCCTCAAGTATAAAATTTGAAGAAGACAATTTGCTACCAAGTAAGTAAAGGTAAATGTATTTTTGCGCATGTTTTCGCTTGGCTTAATAGGGGTGCAAAAATCAATGAAAATAGCTTATGCTACTTGAATAGTCATTTTTTACAGGACATAGTTGATAGGAAGCTCATTCGAAAGCCGGCATCCTGGTGTGACTGGAATATCTTAAAATTTTCAGTCACAATAATCGGTATGACAATCCTACTTAAGTAAGCTTTTGGAATTGAAAACACATCTCAGAATTTCGGTTAATATCTCATGAGATATCCACTGTACATGACGCTCAACCGGGAAGCCAAACCGACTGTATCAGGAACAACCTCGAAGTCGGCTGGATGAGTAATGACCTGAGCACCAGTAAGTACAGGACTTCTAACACTGATCTCCAAAGAAGGGTCATATTGGTGTCAGTCAATCACTACGCGATTCAGGCCTTCAAAGTCACCGTCGAGAGGCAAAAATGACAGCCTGTGCGGTTTGCAAGAACCTCACTCTTATAACATTCAAAATTATCATGAGTATCATCCTCAGGAAGCTCATCCCTGCTATAGCAGAGAGAATCGTAGAAGTCAACTGATACCTTGACTATATTGTCACTCCGCGACATGCTCTAGAACATGGGTATTTGCAGTGGAAGCAAAAATTTTTTCAAATTGCAAATTTCCCTTGAGATATTCTTGCAACTACCTTATCAAAACATCCTCCTCAAAAGAAAATGTTGAAGACACTCTTGCCTACAGAACTCAGTCGGTCCATGGACCCTCTTCATTCTCTACGTTAATGACAACCTTCAGGAGCTTGACTGCAGTAAGGTCTTGTTTACCGGTGACGTTAAACTCTGTCCACCTATTAAAAACCCAAGTGAACAGAACGCCCTTCAAGATAATCTGCATCGACTGCCAACGTGGTCCGAGTAATGGTTCCTAGATTTCAATGCGCATGAATGTGCCGTCCTCCATCTGCCCTTAACCACCCAAAAGACAGCCCGAGGGCATATTGCCTGAAAGACATTCAACTTTCCATAGAATCTTCACAGAAGGACTTCGGTGCTTGGAGACAGGGCAATGTTAAAGCATCACTGCAATGCATCAGGGCTGCAAAAGGCGGCATGAGAATACTGTAGGCCATCAAAAGGACGTTCGTAGGTCTCGACAAACACCTTTTTGTAGAATGTTCACGGCATCTTCCTTTAACTACGCCTATAATACGGCACGTAGGCGAGACGATTATGCCTCGAGAAAATGCAACCCTATGCAACGAAGCTAGTAAAAGGTCGAAGATACCGACCTTATCTAGAAGGACTGAAGTGTCTGAACATAGTCCCTCTGTTTTATCTGTGATCTTAATCTAGCATACAATATGATACATGAACTTGAGCAGGGACTGGGTTTGAGGACATGTTTCAGTGGCACCTTTCGGCTCACCTTCGCGGACACTCAATGAAGTTAAGCACGAAAATGTCCAGGCGGAACCTTCGTTCTGAATTCTTCACGTGACGAGTAACAGAACAGTGGAATGGTCTCCTTCAAGTAGTTGTGAGGGCTAGGTCACTACAGATCTTCAAAAAAAGTTTGGATGATTATATGTGTCTCTTGTTTGGCCTCGACACTGAACCTGAACTAGATACCAAGTCAATCCGAAAGAGTTTAAAAAATAATGCTACTTAAATTATGGGAATACTATTTTAGCAGTGATAACTTTTCGGAATGCATGCACAGCCGTATACAACACACCGGCATGCAAACAATAGTTTCCAAAGGCTTCATCTATTACCCCCACCAAATAAAAAAACTACACATTCATTACGGGTTTTGCTCCCTATAATAATTCTGTCCTGCCAATAAGGGTACTTCAGAGCTTCACCCAGCCCACATGAAGTAAGCTGAAATACGCGAAACTGGTGGGTTGTACTTTTGTAGGTGTTGCTCAACACCTGCCGAGTTCTACTGAGAGTTATGCTTGCCAAAAACCAAGGATAATCTTGTGTGGCCTAATTAGATGGCTTCTGCCTCTAAAAGTATGCAACCAATGTATGTAGGTTTTAAAAGTGTAGGAGGAGTGAACAGATGATTTTCGAGATGGCCTCATTGTCTTGTCTACGCCAGGCACACACACTTTCAGTCTGGGTCGCGTAAGAATCAGATTCCTGTATAATTCGACCGACTGTGAATCTATGGGAAATCGGCTTGTTTTCAAGGCTGGCTGCGAATGCCTCAAGATGCAGGGAAGGTTCTGACTTCTGTCTGATAGGCTAGGGCTCTAAAGAATGCACCGAAGGGAGGGGGAGAGGGAGGGAATAGGTACTTATTTACCGGTGGAAGAGATAGGTAATTTAGAGTCGGTAGAGGCCTTTGACTATCATCTTAGTTTTTCGCGCCGCGACTGCCCATCGTGTCGTAAAAATGCAGTCCCTGCTTTTTTTATAATTGCGAGCCAGCTCGGTGTATTCTCATGACAGACATATCGCCAAACTAGACAAGTGTTAACTCTTCAAACATCATAGTTTCCTAGTAGCCATGTTGCGCTTCTGCTGTAGCTAGTGGTTCTTATGTTAAAGCCATCTAGAAACTACCACTGAGCCCGGAATCTGTCACTGTTAGGCGGCGGTCAGGGTGGCTGTAACGTCTTCGAAATTGCAGGTCATGGATAAGCGAGCGCTGATGAGTGTGAGTTGGGGATGAGAAGCGACTGGTCAGTTGCATACTGGTGAAAATTGATGCAATGCCCACACCTTTTTTACTGGCCCACTTTTTTCGAATGAAGTTTAACTCTTCTCAACGCTCGAACGTAAGTCTCTCTATGAGAAGCCGTTTGGCAAGAGGTTATGCTATAGTGTGGCGACTGTGCTTTACACAAGTATCACCGCCGATGATAGATCTAGCGTCCAACGACCGTAAACGCATGTAACTCTGCGATGTGAATAAAAAGACGGCGGTAATGATATGTTGGCGACATGTACTTGATACGGCTGTTACTATACCGGGTTTAGGCTATCTCAGTGGATTTGCAGACCGTGCCTGTCTACGCGTAACCGTCCGCGACAGCGGATCTGGAGAACTCTACCCACTCTCTTCTCCAGCAACGAAGACCGAATACTGAAAGTCTAATTACCACCCCCACTTCTTGACAAACTCTGTTCAGTCAAGTTTTGGTCCGTCCTTTTCGACGGCTCTAGGTGGTCTGCGACGTCAGATCAAGTGTAGGGGCATTGGACTCATGTGGCGAACAACGAAGAACGTGGTCAGACCGCCTTCGTCGTCTTTCCTGGGTGGTCTAAGATATCCTCACGGTGTCGTCACAAGTACGAACAGTCTCATTTGAGAGGAAGTTGGATTACTTCGTTCGGAGGATGTTCCCCAGGTTATGGTGGTCAAACGCCTCCAGTTTTGCCTTGGCTTTCACGCGTAGGACCGGACGTTCAATCGTAGGGGGAACGAACCGAAGTGATTTTTGGCCCACGCGGACCCTAGTGACTATGGAGATATATGATGGCGAGCTGACCGGTTGATTTGCATTTTAAAGACACGGGAGAGCAGGTCTACCCGAGAGCCTAACTCCTGGCTATCAGGCATACGTAGGGTTTGCGGATAGTGGAACGGACTTCAGCAAAGGTTCACTGCAAAATAGACAGACTTACTGGCCCGACAAGTAAGTAGTCACGGACAGGTGGCGACAGCGATACGAGGACACGGAGGGCTGAGGCTTGGCACGACGACAACCTTACGAAATACTGCAAAATCCAATTACACCGCTGTGACATGGTGACCATGAGTCATCATTAAATAAGCTTCCTAGCCATCAAACGTCCATCCGGTCCGCCCTCCCATACGGTTGTGAGCGTCCGGTCCTGTGAGTGAAAGCCAAGACAAAACTGGAGGCGTTTGACCACCATAACCTGGGGAACATCCTCCGAACGAAGTAATCCAACTTCCTCTCAAATGAGGCTGTTCGTACTCGTGACGGCACCGTGAGGATATCGCAGACTATCTGGGAAAGACGACGAAGGCGATTTGACCATGTTCTCAGTTGTTCGCCACATGAGTCCAATGCCCTACACTTGATCTGACGTCGCAGACCACCTAGAGCCGTCGAAAAGGACGGACCAAAACTTGACTGAACAGAGTTTGTCAAGAAGTGGAGGTGGTAATTGGAATTTCAGTATTCGGCCTTCGTTGCTGGAGAAGAGAGTGGGTAGAGGTCTCCTGATCTGCTGTCGCAGATGGTTACGCGTAGACAGGCACGATCGGCAAATTCATCGAGATCACCTAATTCCGGTATGGTCACAGCCGTACCAGGCACAAATAACTAATGATTCTAGAAACAGGTTCAAGGCCAGCATATTTTTCGAGTGTGGACCGTATTAATGCATGATAAGCTAAACAGTTACACATGACTCTCACCCAAAAAAATCCAAAATGGTTTTGTGTGATATGCCAGGAGTCTTTACTACCAAAACTATTCCATGGCATGCATGCCGAGAGAGGTGGGGCGAGATATTGTTAAAATTGGAGGGCTAGTGTAGATTTAGCAAGTGTCTGCCACCTCCGGCGCCGATAATGACCTCGCCAGAGTCAAAAGTACACATTATATTGATGGGGAAGTTCCGCACTAGGAAAAAAAGACATGTAGGTACCCAAGTAATTCTGATCTAAAGTATTCAATGAACATTGTATAGGCGAAATCGGATGAGGCGTTTATGTTCAGTCATGGCAGAACTCCTAACCTTTGCGGCTTCTGCTGGCCAAGTTACGCAGTACGGATGGCTTACGTTCATTTACTATGGTAAACCATCCTTTCTTGGGCAGGATCAGGCTAAAACACGAGGCGAGGTTGTCAGTTATATGTCAGAAAGAAAATATAGGAACGAATTGGGACATGGTTACATGTTAGACCGCCGAATAACGGATACCACAACGCGATGGCCTGATAGAATCCGACTACAATAAATGACGCTTTACTTAGTATCCTCTCCCGGCTTTCCTGGTTTTCGTCACTTCTTAACTACTCTCCCGGTTTGTTGCCCACGTCAAAATTGTTAGCTAAGAGCCTGACATCAGATTTCGCAGATCTAAGCCGCCTATATGACTGTGGGATATCAAGAAACCAACTTAAGCTACAGTAGTCAACCAAAGAAAACAGAATAACATACGCAAAATCTAGTGTTAGGAGAATTTAGAGCATTGGATCAAGCTTCCAAGCGAGAGAAGAGATGGACACCCGAATACATTTATAAGGCGTCCGAAGTCCTAAATAACTGAAACTACTCTCATTTCCAAAAAATAAACAGGACAAAATCGGAAGATTCCCATAATGCCCCTGTCTTCCGCGCTGACTGTGACCATAGTGGTTGACATAGGTTATTGGGCTGCAGGGCGTCACGATGGTTTTCATCTGGTTCGAACATGACTGCTTGACCGTCGAAAGGTCTTAAGAATATAACAAACGTTCTCCGTAAAATGCTCTCAGACCATTAACGATACTTGTTTATGAACAAACCTACTACGTCAGCATTTGATAAGAGCCCCGGATACGATCGGAATCTTTTGAGAATACCAAAACCAACCGCATATATCAGTAGGTCGTAAACTACAATTTTTGTATATTTGAAAAAACGCGGCAACGGAACGACATTTGTAATCTAAGCCTATGGTAGACTAACCATTCGGACGGAGAAGTCAGTGCTTCGTCAACGAAACCGGCCATAACTCACCTAGAATGCGATTCGTGGGAGGACTTGCCAAAAAGGGTATCCGAAATACCACGCCGTGACGTAGCTCCCTCGGCGGATTCCTTGGACTTGTTGATTTTGTGGTTGTAGGTGCACACCCAACACAGAACCTGACCATCAACTTTGCTTCTGCTGGCCTAGAATAGACAGTATGCCATTTTAAGGCAGCAGTACAAAACGTATTAGTTTAGACCGTATTCTGCGGGAAAAAACATGGCAGAATAACGCCTGTCTACCTGAACCGGGTGACGCGCAGTGTCACCGACATACCTTGCAACACCAAAATATGGTATGCTGCACGTGGGATATCCATAAATTTAAAATGTCTGCATAAGAGAGCGTCTAGGTGTACAAATGAATAGGGAGGCAATCATTCTGGATAGAAAAAAATCAGACAGGGGGTGGCCCATTAGGAAGGACATTGATGAATGATAGGTACTTGCAGGTTAACAGTGAAACCTTCATGGCGGTATGACATATCAGACAGGATATAGATTAGTCAACTGAGAAAACAATTAAAGCGGCATTGTCGGTGACGGCAGAATGGTAGTCAACATGCAAATAAAAAACGCAGTGTTTGGGACACGAATGGACGGTAAAAACCTGACCTTACCTCGTCCTTATAAAAAGCACACATCTGCAAGCACTTCTCGCACTGTCTAGGGTCCCCAAACTTGTTTCTGTAATGCAAACAGCGTTGGCAGACCAAGGCATTCCCGTAAGCTGTAGGCAGCATGCAAATTGAGCAGGGTTTTGGCTCGCCATATTTAGCTTTCAGGGATTGGCAACGCGGACAGGCAGTTCCCGGACTAAATACTCAATAGCACGATAATAACAATGGTTACACTGAGTATTTAAAATCAGATTTGCAATATTCGCATTGTTTGAAGGACGAGTGATGAGGTGTGCAAACCTGTGAGGATGATAGGGAGAACAACAATTATCACAAACCTTACAAGTAGTCCCTGATCTTGCCATCTGAGAGTGTGGAAAGCTTTTCAAGCATCTTGTACACGAAAATAGCGGCTGCTCCATGACTGACGTCCACCCAAACCCAAGCCCAGACGGTAAGTCAAACTTGACGCAATGTGTATGTGTTTGTTTTAAGACACGCTTTTCAAGGCCTTGCAGTTAAAAGTTATTCTGACACCTGATACTGCTGCACTCTTTCCAAAATATCGACGCGAACATTGTATGGAAGACTAAGCAATACTCGGGATTTCACTTTGCTTTGGCGTTAGCGCAAGCCAAACGTTTTGTTGCTTACGATACGGTGGTTCCCTTTTCGAAATAAGTAACTTTTTGTGTGGTATTTAGCCCGCAAGCATGCGCTGTCTTCGTATGAAGATTAATAAACAATGCATCCTGCTTGCTGGATGGGCATGGACACTTTCTTCGGCGTTATATGCGAGTTTCATGTGCGAATTCAAAAATCTGCTGTTTGTCAGTCTGATAGGCTACTTTACAAAGCTGGCGTTCGTCCGTTCATGGAATTACAAAGAGAATGCCGGATTTTTACGTCAAAATAAGTGAAGTTACGTCTTTATAAAAGGCGGAAGCTCTCACAACATCCCCGCCTTGGATCTCGGATGTGGGCGGCTGAAAGTCGTTTTTCAAAAGTTTATGGTCCTTGAACAGGCTAGGGGCACCGAATGACTCAGTTTTTCGCATCGCATAAACCCTATAAAAGGGCGTTTTTAGTTGCATTCATAGTACTGCTAAAAAACGCTACAATGCAGACGGGCAGAGTAAATTCGCGCCTCGGTACTCACCATACAACGAGCCATTTTATCAGATATTGTAAAGTACTTGATGACGTATCTGGATCAGACGAACCTAGTATTTGTTGCCCAGCACGGTTCCTGTGAGGACATTTATTTCTTACGGGTGGTATCTACTCGCAGAACAGTGGTCATATGCTATAAAACAATGCTGTCCAGTTGATGCCATTTTCTTTGGTTTCAAAAAGGCTTTGGGTAGCTTGTCTAATCAGTGACCCCTAGAAAAGATTTGACGGTATGGAATCCAACGTACTATTGTTTAGCGGATCAAAAGTTTCCAATGCTTGAGGTTGCAAAGAGTAACTGGTGGTGCCACAGCATAAGAAGGGGTCCCAGCAGAAAATAGTGTACCACGTGGATCAGTATCAGGTCAACTTGTCTTCCTCAGTCATATAAACGTCTGCACTGATGACTTTGACTATGATATCGCCACGTTCACAAATAATACAAAAATCTGGGAAATAATCATTTGTGTTTATGACGAGCAGAAAGTGCATGAAGGCTGGCTGTCCGATCCACTGACTTCCAATGTTCAATATATCCTAATGTGTAGGCTTACACTTGAAAGCTGGTCGGAGACATTTCATAGAATATAAGTACTGCGTCAATACATATATACATACATACATACAATTAATAGGATTTCTCTGTTAAGACGTTGGTATCGGAACAGAGGCGTGGGCAAAGTCTTCCGTAGCGGTCTCCGATCGCTCTTTATCCCAGACTACACTTACGATCTATGCGACCGTTTATACAACGTGGTGGGGGGGGGGGGGCAACCGCATCTAAGCCGCTTTATGTCACTTTATCCAGGGAATAAGGATTTCATACTTGAACTCCCTATTCATATACGAAAAACCAATGGGGTCAGTTTTTACAGCAATAATGGTGGAAGGCATACAGTCATCGATATGTCAGTGCGCACGCGGCTAGACCGTAGGAAGTTTTCATTCAGCCAGCGGGCTGTCCGGCAATGTAACTCGCTAGCAAGCGAGATCGTGACGGTCGACACAATTTACATGTTTAAAAGACAACTTGCTTCGCTTGATTTTCGACAGAAACCGGCTTTTATAACATGATTACTCACAGCCAGCCCTGTAAAACACCGTCATACACAATCTTTCTGTACTGACTTATAGTGGACAGATGCGCTTCCTTATCATTACGATCGTACTGTGACCCGATCACATCGTAAATGCCGACAACTGTATTCTGGGTGCGAAACAGCGAGAGCACTGTACATAAATAGGGTCATCAAGGACTCCGCACCTAACCCTCCAAATAGAAGGGTAGAGAATACAGGAGGTTCCTGCTGCATGTCGCTGTTCTCGTTTTACTTGGAGTGCTACCTACTTAGGGCTTCAATAGCTACGCTTTTATCTTTTATGCTCTCCGACTGCTTATTGACCCTCTTTTGTATAACAACAATGTAGGTTACCGTCCCCAGTGTTTGACACGTACAAGAAATTTGCCGTCGTAGATTGTGTGGAAACAAAGTGTTCAGTGTGCATAGCATTACACATGTTACTCATCCCCTCTCCCCATAATCATATTCCTCAGAAATGCAACGCAAAAATCCTACAACACCGGCAACCCTCACCAAACTGGGAAGTGTGTTTCCCGGTTCCTTCGCTATGTGGTTCATCTGCTGCATGTGCGACTCAAGCATGGGACTGTCACGACGCGCCATGTCCCGTAGCCTATAAGGTTGCCAACTGATGGGATAACATGGACCCCTCAACCAGTTCAGTGCTTGCTTATGTGGGATGTCCGACTGGTGGTCTGAGAGTTAGGCTAGAAGGATTTTTTCTTAATGTGGCCTTTGTGGCACTTCCACCTGGAAGGATCCTAGCCGAGTATGGTGGTGCGCCTAGGGGCGGCTTCGACCATGCCAGTCGTCACTTTTTTTGTTGATTGAAATCCTGGTCAAGTGTTTGTTGTGGACTAGGGGTGTAGTGGTACGCCTATTTGCGAGTTTGGCTATGCCAGTCAGCTACGCCCCCTCCGGCCTCCGGTATTTTAAGCTGTCTGGACAACGCACCAATGTGGGGGAGGACGAGGGAGTGCGGTGGACGAGTCGTAATTCTATCATCACTATAAAGATATCCCACAGAAGTCACAGTGACCGCTCTCGCTCTTTTGTGGACCACTCGGTGGGTACCATCGGTCACGTAGGTCGAACTTCCACACACATTAACAAAGAAGCATGCAGAGGGATCTGAGTATATTTCATGCAGACCAACCGGACAGTGTGCTGGGCCCTGTACTTCAGTGATTTCTATTTTCTCACCACAAACAATAATCTGCGCGGGAACTCTCTAAAACTTCGAGAGCCCGGGTTTTCGTAGATACTCGTTTTCACAGTGAGTTCTCAGTACCGGAAACGGACTTTGTAAAGGAGAAATGATAGCAGACTCAATAGAGACATTTAAACATAAACTGGATGTATATTTGCTTGGCAAATACCGCTCAAACGGACAGGACAGTTCTGATGTATCAAACCGACGCCCTGCACACACCGCTGACGCAAATGGCTATTATTTCATATTCCACGTTATCTTAAAACCCTGAGGGTCCCTGGGTTTCAGTCCTGCAATATTTCAATAATATTCTGTAAATCCAGTTGTTACTGGCGACATTATAGCAACATATTTATTTTACTTGAATACTGTATTAACAGTTTTAAGAAGGTCTTCAAAAGTTTTGCCTACTACCCTTAAATATACCGAACTGTACTGAAATTATAAAGGCAAGCGCGGCAGCAGTACATTCCCACATGCAAATGATCCATATTCACTTCATTGCATTTCTTCGAGCAACCGGACGACTAACTGGAGTATGACTTGAAGTCCGAGCCAGCAATAAGACAGGGTAAGAACTGCTGGAAGCCTGAGTGTCTGACACCAACTCGGTCTACAGAAACGTTGACATACTCCCCTGCTATCACGCACTCCGTTCCCGCGGCCAAGAGGCTAGACCCAATTCCCAGCCAAGGGTGCACGCAATCACGTCGCCGTGCGACGGCGTGGAATCAGATTATCGCGAACGCCATCCCCCTCTCTCCCATCGCCCGTTCATCTTTCGGCTACAAAAACTGCTCATTTGACGCCGCATCCTCACAGTCTCTGACGATGACCTCCTGAACGAGACCGAAAGCGCGGAGTAATAAACGTGTTGTCCCAGAGAACGTGTGCTCATCTTCCTTACAATAAGTAGTCTTGAAGAAGGAGACACGGTCGCTGGGACTAGACATTTAATAGCCTGACGTTTCGGATTCCTGCTCGAATCCATCACCAGAGACAACAGCAGATACGAGTGATTCACGCACAAGCGGCTGCAGTATTTATAGGATGCAGTCGCCATGCTACCGCATACCTATGATCATTCACGGCTCCCCCCTTCATCCGGGACCGTTGAACATGGTGTGCTGATTATTTGATGGCCGACATTCGCGTCTTTAATTGCTGCATGTTCATCAAGTGCGTTGGATGTTGGTGTGATCACTGCTCGACCATCTGACACGCAGACCCTAGCGTTTGGGAAAAGTGTTCACCTGTGCGCTCCCCGCGTGACAAATTATCCCGCCTAGGCGAAGTCTCAGCACCGAGTAAGGAATGGGAAGTTCATTGCACTTGTTAATTGACTGGGAGCCATCAAACCATGATTCAAGTAGCTCCCGGCGCTTTGTATGTCAAGAACGTTTCGGAAGCTGTTGGCCGCCTTCTCGCACAATTTGGGGTTGGAGTTGCACACGGACCGGAGGCAACCATCAGGCGTCTGGTAATAAAACCGAAAGACCCGCTGTCACGGCTAGAAACGTCTGGAGTCGTTTATCGGATCTGGTGCAGTTGCGGACAAAGCAACTATTTTGGAGAAACCGGAGGACAGCTCCGAAGGAGAATGACCGAACACGCTGTAGTGGTGCGGAGAAGTGACGTCAGCTCCCAAGTTGCGGCTAATTCGGCGAGATCCGGTCACACATTCAATTTCGATGAGGCCGAACTTCTTGCAAGAGGTGACAACCGCGTGAGCCGGGAGATACTTGAATCATGGTTTACTGGCCCCAAGTCAATTTACAAGTGCGATGAACTTCCCCTTTCATACTCTGTGCTGAAACTTCACCTAGGCGGAGTAATTAGCTACGCGGGGAGTGCACAAGTGGACACTTGTCCCAACACCAGTATCGGTGCGTCAGAT